GAGCAGCACGTAGTGAAAACCTGTGGGATACCCTCTTAGCTTTTAAAATAACAGAAAGGGATCATTTTGGATTGGGCACCCTCAAGCGGAAACCAGGTCATAAAGTTTCATCTTCTGATGTCCCTGTTGAAAGCGCAATGCCCCTTTTCAGACAAAAAGCAAAACTAAAGACTTAGAGGTTTTTTGGCTTTCAGCCCAAATACCACCTTTTTTTTTTTTAAGACCTAGACAGTCTTGTAGAGATGAATTGTGACTTGATTAAAATTAATGCTGGAAAAATTGTAATCGAGAATTAAAATAGAATAACTTGTATTTAACACCATGGCTTTAAGGCAGATTTGTGCAGCTAGGAAGACGCAAAGAATAAAAAAGAAACCCTCAAATGTCAAGACATACTTTCTTAAGTACTTCTGAAAATTATGATGATAATATCTCAATCTGGAGTTATTGTGGCAGCCTAAGTTTTCACCCAGGTATGTTGTGTTCACTCATAATAAAAAGCATTCCTTCCTGAACCTCGATGCATACCCAGCCCTGGGAGGAAAGTTTTTTTGATTGTGGTTCTGATGTTACAGTTTGGTAATTCGTTCTGCGTTGATTAACATTTGCACATGGCTTCCCTTGAGCCTTTTCCTCCGGCCTCCTGCCCTCAGCCCACTCCACCTCCGTGCCATCAACCCCCGGCTAAAACAGCGATCCGGCACAGCGAGTGCCAATACGTGAAATAGTTGCACGACTTCTTTGCTTTGTGCTGTTTTCTTTGCAAGGGAGAAAATGGGAGTCTTCACACAAGGGAAGACTTTGTTTTCCTCTTGCTGTTGTCTGTGATCCCCACCTGTTGTATATATGGTAAAAATATCTGGGACTTATAACCCAGCAACAGTACGCAGCCAGAGTCATGTGTGACCGGGTCAAACACACACTCGCTGGAGGGTCATGGCCAGGTTACTAAGTCAAGGCTGGCAAGTCTCCACGATAATGTTTTCTTTCTCTCTCACTCTTTTTTTTTTTTTTTTTTTTTTTTTTTTCCCCTTCTCCCCTTGTCTGTCTTCCAAACAACAGTTTAAAAAAAACCAACAAAAAAACCCAAAACCCTCGTAACAATGCAAACTATTCAAGCATGACAAATTCAAAGAAGTTTTTTATTAAAAAAAAATTGGATGGGGGGGTTAAGTCAATGATATTTTGGATTTAATTTTATAGTATAGTTTTATGTGGCACATGAAAGAGAGAAATTTGTATTGAAACAATTGAGACCCACTTTCCCAGTTCCTGGCTCTTTCCTGGAAGATGATTAAAAGCAGACTTTTTTTTCCAGACGAGACATAAAAATTAAATGATCTACAGTATATAGTTATTTTTTCAAATGTTTGGAGGCTTATAAATAACTTCTACAATCAAATGCACACATACAAGCAGCAGAGAATCTGGTTCTAATTACTTGTACTTTAGTTGAACTTTGGCGTTTCCTTTGACTTTCTGCCTAATGTATGTGAGCTGTGTGCCTTGCACTCCTGCAGTGAATAAAAAAAAAAAAAAAAAAAAAAAAAAAGGCAAAAAATCCAGACTCTTGTTGGTGCCAACAAAAATGAGGGTTAACAGAATGTTTTGACCAAATGCAACACTTTGCTATTCACCCTAATTAGCTGAAATTGCTGCTTCCCACCAGGGACTCTTAGCTCAGTATTCAAAATTCCCTTGAGGCTATCCAGGAAATGCCATTTGCTTTACAACTTCTTATTCTTTTAAGACTCAACTGTCCAAAGTGTGCATTAACATACAAGCTTAATAATCTAAGTTTCTAGCGAAACGCAAGGCATTTCATAATGCCTGCCTGCTTCTAGTTGGTCACAAAGTAAAATACCTCCTCCATCTGTCAACATGGTTTAGCTGGCAGTAAATTAGCTCTCACAAAGCACACTGTGCTTTTAAAGATCTTATCTGCTGCTTTATCTAACCTTTAGAAATATTTCAGCCATCTTAGGAATTGTGAAGTGACCGATTGTTTGAGAGTCCTTGTGTGCTTAAGCAGCATTCAGGTGTTGGGTGACAGCACCAAGGCTCTGTTTTCTCAGGTGAGCAGGGACCCTGAAGTGTCATATCCCATAGCACAAGGCAGCAGGGCATGGAAAGAAGTAGCTTTTTTTATGTCTTTGAATCCTTCCTAAAATTGTAAGACTGCTTTAAAAAAATGCCTCTTCTGGATATGTCAACTGTCCACCCATCATCCTTTCTTTTTTCCACCTTGCATGTGCAGACGTGCGTAGAAGAAAGCGGGTTCTGCTCTCGTGCGTCCGCTAGCCACTGACATGATACAGAAATAATGCTTTATACCTGCTGAGCATGCTACAGATGCCTGCACTGGATTTCTGTACTTCCATGCTGGCAGTACGTACATTTTCAAATGAAGAGTTAAAAAGGCTAAATCCAAGGAAGAATAGTAAGTCAGAAGCTGAGTAAGAGTCGAGCATGTGTAACCTGAGTTCAAGCCGTCTCTAGAAAGCTGTACATCTTGCCTGTGATCAAAAGTCAATGTTCCCAAACTGGGTTTTCTTACCCAAAAAACCCAAAACAAACCAAAACAAAAAAAAAATCGAATTTTTAGACAGTTGTTCAGCTGATGCGAGTATTATACTGAATAGCTTAAGCCCTTTCAGTGGCGCATATATATGTGTGTATATATATATGGCTGGTTGTGAGGGTCTTGTGGTTTACATTGGCTTTTTCCTTCTCGTATAACTTTTCAAATTGTCCAGAAAAAAAATTCTCTAGCGGCACCTTCAGCTCTTCAGTTGCTGACTATGTTGTGTACTTACGAACTGAGCTGGTTTCTTAATCTCATCTGGGAATCACAAGTTCCTGGTGCTTGGCCGGTGCCTGACAGACCTCTGTTGTACATACAGTTCATGGTTTGAATGCTACTATTGGATGCTGGTGCTTGTTTAGGATGAAATCATCAAAAAAAGCAGAAGTGTATCGGTATTATTCCTGAACGACTGCTTTCCTCAAACTGAAATCACAGAAGGATTGCAGGAGTGCAGTTGTTTTACTGAATGACACAACCTTGTTTTCCCAGGGGGAGCCTAAAAACTGCCTTTAAGATGGACTGGGAGAGTTGAATGAGCTAATACAAAACACATTGTCTGCTGGTGTTAGAGTTTTAAAGCTAAAATTTTATCATTCCGTACACTGATTGGAAGCTGCCATAATTCATGTACGAGCATGAAATAAGGCACAGAATGTTTGAGGCCTCTCAAGGGTATTTGATGAATCTAACTTTAATTTAAAAGTACTAATAGATTATTGATTCAAGCAGGACAGCTGTGTGGAGATCAATAACAGAGCACTCTCTGTCTCTCTTAAATACCAAAAATTACTGTTGAAAAGAAATGATCATTCTCATCTCTGTTTTCATTAAGAAAAAAAACTTCTTTAAAGTTTGCTTGGTGCAGTAGGAACGTGTAGATTTTTGGTTTGCCAAAGTTCAGTGTATTTAATGCTGAAAAAGATAAGTATAGTTCTGGACATTGTCTTAACGTCACAATTTATGGAGCCACATGTTATTTCACTTTTCTGTTTTTTTCACATTGTTGTTTCATTATTGTTAGATAAATAAATAAATAGTTTCCGTTGGAAAGCTATTTCTTTGCTTAGAATCAGAGCCTTTAACACTTCACTCTAGCATTTATTTTCTTCTCAAGAAGTGTCCATCCTTGAAGTTGATTTACTTGGCTTAAGCCAAGTAAAAATGGCAGAAAGGGGCCCTTTTCTCACAAGTAATCAGAAGTTGCATCGTGTTCCGTGATGCCCTCTGTGAATTCTGCAGAACACGAGCTGACAATGAATCATGGGTTTAATACAAATGTATCATCTTTGTAATCTGAAAAATATCATGTACAGTAAATCTTGTCTAAGATTTTTCCATTGAGTAATATTCTTTAGGGCCTGATGTTAGTACTCTTGAGATTTAGCTCTGCTGATAGTGCCTAATATTTCTGGATAGATCTGAGTTCACAGATCCTGTCATTTCTGTGTATCTGTTGAAAAGTTAGAGGGATTTATCTGAGAAGCAGCAGAACAGCTAGGTGAAACATGAAAATATATTGCACATCTACAATAAATGTGAGGAATGATGACAGCATATCACAGAAAACTAATGCAGATGTTTTGGAAAGATGTAGTTTGCATGTCTTATCTTGCATCATAGAGCTTTCACGTCCTTTCCCTGAAAGGGATAACTGGCTTTTCAGCAGGTTCAAAACAAATGACCATCTAGAAATATTAAGGCAATAAAGGGATGTGGGGTCATAATGTGTAAGTAGCTTTTTCTCAGAGAGGTTTCCTGATGTTACAAATCCAAAGGTAGGTAAGGAAGTGTTGCTGGGTTGTGCTAGTTTTACAGATAAAAAAAAAAGACGACTTATTCAGGTAATTTTCACTTCAGGTCTTATACTTAGTCATTTGTCTCTTTACATATGTCCTGATGCATGCCCCTATCCTATTGTGGCAAAATTGCACATTGGAAGTGTTACCTTTTGTAGACAAAGGCAAGAGATACAAGAGCTCTCCCAAAATTAGGTACAGATTGGAAGGGTACATGCCACAGTTTCCCTTTGAAGGCTGATATCCAGCATGCACACATGGATCCCATGCAATTCAGTAGGCTAAAACAAGAACATGAGCCCAAGGTTGTCCATTTTTGGAGCCTGGTAAGAGATTCAAGCCATATATCTGATGTGAGCTGAAGCTTTTGTGGTGTTGAGTAGCTGGATCGTGAAAAACTATCAAGTACGTTAAAATAAATTTTTGAGGCTATAGCATGTAGTCCTGTCACTGCTTGCCTTACTTTGGTTCCCCTTAAATTTTGCTAGGAAAGACAAAGTAATGTTTATTATAGAAAGATAGATACGGGCTAGTTTGATGGTTACAATACAGTAAATAATTAGTAGTTTAAAATTCATTAATGAACCATTCAATTATATTTCTTTTTTCTTTTGTAGCAGTTGAAACTCAGAGCACCAGTTCTGAGGAACTTGTTCCGAGCCCTCCTTCACCACTTCCACCCCCTCGTGTTTACAAGCCCTGTTTTGTCTGTCAAGACAAGTCATCTGGATATCACTATGGTGTCAGTGCTTGTGAGGGATGTAAGGTGAGTGCCATCATCTCCCTTTCCTTTTATAGGACCGCATTTCATTTTAGAGAGGGGCAAAGCAACAAAATGTGGTGTGACTCGATTGTCTCCAAAGATGCCTGTACCTTTCTTATGTGTTTCAATCCCTGCTTACTGCAGGGGGGTTGGGCTCGATGATCTCTCAAGGTCCCTTCCAACCCAAAAGCATTCTATGATTCTATGATTCTGATTCATGAGTAAAGCCAAGTAAATGACCATCATGCCTGGAACTATTTCTCTTCATAACTTCTGCCAAAGTATGTCTGTAAGGGACATCTGTAAATTGACTATGAGAATGTGATCGTAGATGCAGAGATAATCAAAGAATAAAATGAAAGCACATTAAGAGTCTTCACTGTCCATCTGTAGGTCAAGTGTATCCTGAGAACTCTTGTGGCCATTGTCTGATCTCAGCCTGGCTTTTTCTGTGAGCTGCTACCTCTGTGTATCCAGGGGGTGGAATTTGGGAAAAGGATCTGATCATCTGGAAATTCTTGGCATAGTCTCTATCTATCTAACAAATCTCAAATCAAATTGGGAATTTAAGGATTAGGAGGTTGGTATTCACAAAATTTAATCTGGCAAGAGTACAGTGCTGACACATCTGCTACTTTCCAGTGCTGTGATTGTCAGAGCATGAATTGACTATCCATAGGATGCACTAATGCGATACACCGTTCTAAAGTAGAGAATGTCTAGAGACGAGATACACATCGGAGAAGCAATGTCAACTAAACCATGTACGTGTGGCAATAATTAGAGGTGTACATACAGTGAATGTTATGTGTGCAAGGAAGAACGTAGTGCGAAAAATGCTAAAGAAAAGGTATCGTAGGACAGATGCTCTCATAGTTAACTTCTAGCCATGGTACCCTAGTGCAATGTTCTTTCTTAACAATTAAAGACCTATGATTTTCATCCTTCAAATTAAAATAGTTGTGTAGTGCTTAGTACAGTGAAGATACTAATGCATGGCGAAAATGTGACAGGTGCTATACCCATTTAAATAAAGTTATTAGAATAAATTAATAAAGGGTTTTTTGCTGGTTTATTTTTGTGAAATGTTATTTTTCAGATACTGTACAGTTAGCCTTTTTTACTTTATCTTTTGAATCTGCAACTTCTTCCAAGCTACTGGCCTTTTGTAGTGACATATCATAGTCCTGGGTTTGTGTCATTCGGCAAAAACCTATAGGATTGGAGTCTGGTTTTCCCCCCTGTTTTATAACTGTAGATACTGAAGTAGTGAAAGTAACTATTTAAGCTCACCTCAGTTTTAGGATCTCTTTCTGGTACTGAGGTTTTCCTTGGATATCATGTCTGTATTTTTTTCTTTTAGATGCCACAAAACTATCAAAAAAACCCTTTAAGAATCTGTTAGGAAGAACTATGGTAAGAATATGCTGTAGCTAATTTCATTAAATAGGATATCTCATCATAGTCAGATGCTAACATGCAAACGGTGGTGTCATTTGCTCATCCACATGTCCCTTCTAAGCACAGACTGTGTTGCAGACTGTGGCAGAAAGGTCACATGTCCCTAAGACTTCATTATTTTTGGAAAATATGCAAAAATATACCATCAGGCTTTTATTGGTGCACTGCAAAGCATTTTCATAAATAATTAAAGCGAGACCACACTTGTCAAAATACGTGAAGAAATCTATTGTGTAATGTGTTAGCCATTATTCAACAGCAACAAAAAAATCATGTTCACTTATTTGCTGATTTGCAAGATGGGGTAATCCAGCACTTAGCAATAGCTGCCGTTAAAAGAAAAAAATGATGAGTTACATAGAAAACCTGTCAGTCTGTGAGAAATAACAAGATTCCAAAGCAGTCACTTGGTTGCTTGAGACTGGTTAGTTGGCGCTAGCTCTTCAACAGGTTGGACTAGAATTTTATTAATCTCTTGCACTGATTGAATCAACTTCCTTAGTGAGTGCCAGGAACTGGCAAAGAATATGATGAGACCACTGAATCAACTAGTGGTCCCTTTGGTGGACAGTCATATATTACATTTGCTGCTGAAAGTTGTCTGAACTTTCAGGTCAACAGAAGTGATGTGCTGGATGACAGCAGACAGCAGTAGGTGACCACAACACCAGAGACAGCCTCAGAAACCTCTACATTGCCAGTTTCTAGTTTTTCTCTGAAGAATGTTGCCCTTTTATCTTGAGCCCTTTTGGACTGTTTGGTTTATTTTTCTTTTCCTTCATCTTTTCTCTACACTTGCTTTCACACATTCATTTCTTGGACCTGTACCATAAGAAAGCTGCCACCTTTTACTTCTCATTTCTAACCATGCAGGCTCCTGCCTGTACTCAAGTCTACATTTGCCCTCGGTTTTCCATATTGGTTCTTCATGCTTCTCTTTCCCTCCAGCCTTCTTCATACAAAAATTTAGCCAGTTGCTTTGTGAGTTTAAATAAGTGCTGAGCATTGAGCGCTGCTGGTAGGGAAGCCTTGTCTCCCGTGGATCTCTGCCTTGCAGTTGGTTAACCCAGGTTTATTAGAGAGCCTGTGTTTCACTGAAGGCTTCTGCTTGGTATAGAGCTGGAGTTCCATGCTGATTCTCTGGTGAATCGGGGAGCAACAGTAAGGAAGAATTCATGTTACAGCCTTTTGTCTAGTTAGGAAATGCAAATTTATTTCTCCTTTACCTCAGCACATGCCTCCATGCAATTTCAAAGAACTTTATTTTCTTCGAGATTTGCAGTTTCACTAAAGCTGACCAGCGTGTTCAAAAGCTGTTGGGATGGGGAGGCAACCTTACTTATGGACAGCTGGGTTACACAAAACTCATTCCATAAGAAGTTAAACTAAAATATCAGCCAAATCAAGTATTAATTATATTTTTTCCTCTTTTCCTCTGACCTTGTAGCCATTTTCTCTTTCTTCACTCTTATTTCCACCATTTCTTTCTTCACCTGATTTGCAATCTCTGTTCTGACCTTAAATTCACTCTTCTTTCCTCCTGTGTTGCACCTCCCTCTGCTCTGAGGTCCTTCTCTCAAGTCTTTTCCTTTTTCCTTTCTGACTCATTTACCTTTCCCTTCAAACTCCTGGCAGTCTTGTTTCTCAAGGGAAACACAGATGGAAAACTCTGCTCATACCATATTTATGTAATTAGGGCCCCATTCCTTTTGTTTTTCTGCGCTAGCTCTCCCATGGTTTTCTTCTAGTTCTCTCTCTGTTTCCTTCTCCTTTGCCTTTCTACTCCGAGCTCCAGTCTGTCACAGTGATCATTAGCAGTCTCTGTCTAGTGCAAAAGGACAGCTTTCTGTCCTCAAGGTTTTTGGGTTGGTGACTGCCTTTGATTCAGCAGGCTTTCTTTTTCCTGCCTTTCAGGGCTTTTTAGATTCTCCTCCTACTTTGTTTACTGTTTATTCAGTGTCTCCTTAAATGGCTCTTTATCCACTTCCTGGTGCTGTTCCCTGAGATTCAGTGCTTTGGTTTTCTGTCTCAAAAGCATCACCTACTGAACTGTTTTATGATAGACCAATGGGGGAGGTCATGGCAATATTCTGCTCATAAAGGGCTTATTTTTAATGGGGACCCTTCCAGCCAGGAGCCCTTGGAGAGCTGTGGATGGTGATTATGACTTTCTGATACTCAGCTTGGGAAACACTGCACTGGAAATTTTCGCTTCCCTAAATTGTCACCAACCCATGGATGATTTCCAAAGTCACGCCTGTCTCTGACTTCTCCCCTTCTGTCTTTCCCTGGTATGTCCTCTTGCTCACCTCACTGCTACCTTGGACACAGAGTTCGTGAAGACAGAACTTTCCATCCTCTCTGTTTGTGACATCACCAACTGTAATCTCATGGCGTGCAGTTCTTTCAGACATCATGCCATGATGACATCATTTCTGATCTGCAGCACTGTAATTCAGGTGATTTGTTGTCTTTTTTCCTCCAGAATCTGCCTTCAGCTGCCTTCACTGTCAAACCATTGCTGTGATGGTCTCATGTGGTGATTAGATTGGTCCCTTCTCCTGTCCTTCCTTCCCCTCTTCCCCCTCATTGTCATCCTTGGACTTTATTCTTTCAGGTACCTGGGAACAATCTCCTTTGCCAAACATTTTCTCGGTATTCTAAGCACCCCTTTTTTAAGTGATCCTTCTGTCTTACTCATTACCAGAGTCTTTAGTACTGTGCCCCACTAGAAAGACTGTTCTGTGGCTTCTTTTGATATGCTAGTCTTTTAAGGTTTTTAGGGGCTGGAGTATTTCATAATATGTACTTATGAACCACAATGAGAGTTGAGGAGCTGTCTAAATAATTTTAAGCTATCTTGTTTTCTAATTTTAGCATATTCATGCTGGAAATTTTGTTTGTGATTATAGATTTAGAGTACCTGACTTCTTGCCTTCCAAATTCAAAATTTGGGAGCTTTCAGAAGGTTGATATCCCCAGCTTTTTTCCAATTTGGTCAGTCAAATTCAGCAGTCAGGACTTTTTTTGTGTGTGTTTTAAACTGGTTTAAAAAAAAAAAAAAATCTTGGTTTTGTGTTTATTTCTGGCTCTTATGCTGCAAAAGGTTTCTGTGCATCATACCCTCTCAATGGCTTTGTGTATGTATTAGAATCTCAAAACTAAAGCAATCTTCACAGTGCACTTTTAAGAAAAAATCCAGAGCCAGTCCATCTTTTTATGTGTAAAATACAATACGTTGACAATATTCAGCTTATTTACAACTTTTCCATTTTGTAAACTCTGTGGCATTCCAGAGGCGGGTTTTGGAATCTACTTGTGTGTTTCATGACCTCAGTTAAAGACTTCTGAAATCTTTTTTCCTCCCCTCCCCGCGGATCTCTGCTGTTGCTAGATAGCACGCAAACAAATTCCATACAAAATGGGCAACTTGGATTTATCCAGCTGGTACAAGTGGTTATAGGGCTGGCTCTCACCAAAAGCTCAGCTCTTTGGTCCTGACTCAACTCATCATTGTAGCTGGGTTTGCAGAAGGGGAGACT